GGCGTGCAGGGCCTGGCACAGGAAGTGGCCTCGGGCAGCCTCCCGCAGCTCCCCCAGTACCAGGCTGCTGTTCCGCAGGCTCACGGTCCCCAGAGCCGAGGCCCCAGTCTCCACCTTGAACTCGGCTCCACTGGTGACAGCCACTGGCCGGGGGATCCGCGAGCCCAGGGGGGTGAAGCTCCAGAAGACCACCAGGGGGGCAGGCGGGGAGCCACAGGCCAGCTCCACAGAGCCTCCCCGCACTCCCTGGACGGACGCCACCTCCTCGTCGGGCTGCCCTGGGGACAGTGACACGCGGGACATCTGAGCTATTGAGCTCTCCTGCCCCCTCCTTGCCCAGAGCCTGCTCTGCAGCCGGGACAGACGGGGCAGGTTGGATCAGACAGCACAAGCCCTTGGGGAGTTGGGGCAGAGACGGTTTCCGGGGGAGCCTGCAGCCTCCTGCCGGGCTGTGCTGTAGGAGCGGAAGGCTGGGGACCAGCCAGGTGACGACTCGAGAGTCAGGAGAGCTGTGTGGCCACTGGCCATCCGGGCTCCGGGGACCTCAGGGAAGGGTCCCAGGGGGTTTCAGACCCAGCGACAAAAGGAAGGCACCGCCTGCCTGCCATTGGCCCATCCAGCATCTATTCACCTGTCAGCTGTTTACACCATCAAGTGCCTGACTCGTGCCAGGCACCAGGGTGGCAGTGACAAATGAGCCACCCCATGGGGACTCCCGTGGAGTCCATCAGAGAGTCAGACATCAGCTCATTGTCACGGGGCGAGGCTGCCCAGGCCTGGCACGGACCCCAGCATCCGCCCGGGCACCGGGGTGTCCTGCCCCTGCGGCCAGACTGCTCCAGCGTGCTGACAGCCCCAGCGCGCGGGACTGACATAAGGGCCGCAGGGAAACCGAGCCACAGGAGCGAGTCGCACCAGCTTGCCTTTGCTGAGTGCGAGGCTCTGTCCTGCACGCTCCCCTGGGGACCCGCTGCCCCTAATTGTTACAATAACTACATCCCCGAGACTCTGAAACACAAAATCGCGTGTCCAAAGCCACACGGGAGGCGGTGGGGCTGCAGCGGAGCCCCGTCCGACACCCGGGCTGAGACTCTCCGCGGCTGTCGGTTCCTCCAGAGAGGAGAGAAGACAGGCCTGGAGTCGGAGGCGGGGATCGAAGGCAAAATTCTGAGGTTCGATTAACCAAGAAGGACAAGAACCCAGAAACGGATTCTCTCTCGTCCCACCAGCTGTCTGTGCCCTGAGGACCACCAGGCTTGGAGGAAACAGTGAAACCTGATCAGACCAGGTCACTCGCATGCTCACAGCTGGGCAGTGGTCCTCGGGGTGATCCCCGCTTCTAGGGTGATGCAGAGCCCTGTTTGGGCCCCGCCTCCCCCACCTGACAGGCAGAAGCCGCTCAGAGCACGCTGGCTGATGTCTAGCAGGTCAATGACACGAATGGACTTGATGGCTATGTGAGTGCGAAAGAAGGATCCCGAGGAAGAAAGGGGAGGAAATGCCCGGCCGGCGTGGCTCAGTGGTTGAGCATCGACCTATGAACCAGGAGGTTAATGGTTCGATTCCTGGTTAGGGCACTTGCCTGGGTTTTGGCTCGATCGATCCCCAGTGTGGGGTGTGCAGGAGGCAGCCAATCAATGATTCTCTCTCATCATTGACCCTTCTCTCTTCCTCTCCCTTCCTCTCTAAAATCAATAAACATATATATATTTTTTAAATATATTTTATTGATTTTTTTACAGAGAGGAAGGGAGAGGGATAGAGAGTTAGAAACATCGATAAGAGAGAAACATCGATGAAACATCGATCAGCTGCCTCCTGCACACCCCCTACCGGGAATGTGCCTGCAACCAAGGTACATGCCCTTGGCCGGAATCGAACCTGGGACCATTCAGTCCACAGGCCGACACTCTATCCACTGAGCCAAACTGGTCAGGGCTAAACATACATTTTTAAAAAAAGAAAGAAAGGGGAGGAAATAATGGGACGCGAGTGGGAACGGGCTCCTGTGGGGGTGGTTTGAGTATCGCTCACCTGAGGCCCCGAGACACAGTAGGCAGAGGGGTGGCAGCAGCAAGAGGCTGGGTGGTCTGCGCAGGGCCCACCGACTGTCCACGGCCCCCATCGCCTGCGTGGCCGCCCGTCTGCCGCAGAGTCTGCCCGACTCTCGGGTTCCGTCTCCCCAGGCAAAGCCCGCGGGAAAGATGGGGTCCTGGCTCGGGTTGCCAACCTCAGCCCTCAGCACCTTCACCCCTGCTCTCCTGTTACCTCCCTGCCCCGATTACGGGTGAATTATTTACCAAGTGATTCACTCCATCCATAATGCAGGAGGCAAGGGCCCCCAGTGCAGCGCACCTGACCGGGGATCCGAGGTTCAGACTCCCCCCGCCCGGGGCCTTCGCGCCCTCCGCTCGCCTCATGTCTTGTTAGAAGCACGTGGACTCTGGCGGGAGCTCTGGAATCCGGTTTGGGTTTGACCGGTGAACTGTGGAACTTCGGGGTATTTTTGAGCCTCTTCCAGCTTTCGTTTTTTTCACAGAGAAATGGAGGGAAAACTCTTTCTAGTAAAGATGATTGTGAATATTAAATGAAAAAACTTATATTAGCATAAGGGGTCTTCTTGGGTACTAGTAACGTCCTATTTCTTGGCTTGAGCAGGGGTTACCGTTCATCAAGCTGTACATTCATTTGTATATACTGTTACATATGCTTGATAACACACACACACACACACACACACACACACACACACACACACACCACACCTGAGCAATGCCAGTGTGTAGTTGGTGCACCATCAGGCCTGCTCTATCTGGATTTGACCTACGAAGTCTGGACCCTGAAGCTGGCATCCTCCTGACCAGGGCTCTGAATCCCAGCTCTCTCCTCCTCCTCCTCCTCCTCCTCCTCCTCTTCCTCCTCCTCTTCCTCTTCCTCTTTCTCTTCTTTCCCCTCCTCTTCCTCCTCCTCTCCCTCTTTCTTCCCCTCCTCTTCCTCCTCCTCCTCCTCCTCCTCTTGATATCCTGCTGCCTTAGCGCTCTTTGCATGACAACTTGAGATAAGGTCAGAGTTTTCCATCCTCTGGCGGCAGGTAGGGAGGTAGGGAGGTAGGGAGGTAGGGAGGTAGGGAGGTAGGGAGGTAGGGAGGTAGGAGGGTGAGAATCCTAGGCCCCACTGAGGCTGGGGATCTGGTGTCAGGTGTCAGGTTCATGGGGCTGAGCAGGGTCAGGACACTTCAGAGCTCAGTGTCAGGCAGGCCCCTCCCGCGCCCAGGGGTGCTCGCGAGGGCACTCCGGCCTCTCACTTGCCCTAAGACTGTGGACAGACCTCGGTGCCACTCTCACTCAACCCACGGCCAAGGTCCCTCCATGCCATCCTTGGGGTCTTGAGCCCCCGTTCGGCTTTAAGCAGAAGGGCAGGTGTCCCTGGGAGTCAGGCTCCCGTGACGTGGGGCTGACACATGTCTGACTGGCCCTGTTGTCCAGGCCGTGTGGCCCCCTTGTTTTGATGCCCCCCCCTAAACTGGGACGATCTTCCGATGTTCCTCTGGGAGCAAGGAATGGGGGTTTGACTGCCGTCTGCCTCAGGGTGGGTAGCAGCTCTGTCTCCAGATCAAACGTGAGACTCAGGCTGGTGAATTGGGGGAAGGTTGACCTTTTCATTCCCTCCAGGCCTTCCACTGATTGGATGCGGCCCACCCACACCGGGTGGGGGCCATCTGCTTGACTGGATCCCCCGATTCAAACGTTACTCTCATCCAGAAGCACCTTCAAAGACACACCTGGGATCAGGTTTGACCAAATCTCCGGGCCTCATGGCCTCGTGAAGTGACACGTAACCTAACCATCATAGAGGCGAGTGAGTGGGTCCCCGATCCTGCAGCCCAGCTCTGCCAGGCTGAGTTGCGGGCCCGTCCGAAAGGAGAGGAAGCGGGACAGGAACGGGAGAGCAGGCCCACGGCTCCTGCCTCTGTGGCCGGGAGCGCAGGGGCCAGGAGAGCCCAGGGGAGCGCCCTTCATGTATGAGAGGCAAGAGAGTACAGGGGTCAGGACACAGCTGCGCCTGGTTATTGCTGTGTCACCCAGCCTGTTGCTTACCCCCTCTGAGGTTCAGTTTCTTCATTTATACGGCATTTTTCTTAGGAAGAATGAGTGAGGTTATGCATCTATGGCACCTGCCTATTAAAATCACTTACACCCCTTGACCTGTGGAATGTAAACCACGAGTTCAGCAATCATTCCTTGAGCATCTACTAACTGCAAGGCACGGTGCTGTATGCGGTTGGGCGCCCCCCTTCCTCCCCTCCCCTCTTTCCCAAGGAGCATCGTCAGCCAAGACGGGCAACCCAGTACTGCCCTGTGCTCTGGGCATGCTCTGTGCTTCTCATCCGCCCTCCTGCCCAGGCCCTGTGAGCACCTCATCCACAGCCTGCCTGGGTCCCACAGGCTCCCATCAGCACCTGCACTCATTCCTTTGCGAGAACCTGGGAAGAGGGAGAGGAGGTGGTGAGGAGTCAGGAGCCGTGAGGGGACTCCCAGCGGAACTCAGGAAAGTGAGGTTATAGGATGGACTTGGGGGCCCAGTTTCTGGAGTAGCTGGAGCTGACATTTGGAGAACCAGGCTGAGGGCTCTGAGTGGGTCCGAGGAACCTCCCTTGCGGCCCAGGAAGGCCCCCCTGCAACCTGGAGAGATGGCCCTTCACCTTCCCCATGGACCTACGTGGTGGGCGCTGCACCAGCCACACAAGCTGGACAAGCCACGTCCCTTCGCTATGCCTCATCGCCCTCGTCTTTATTTATTTTTTAAAAAATATATTTTATTGATTTTTTACAGAGAGGAAGGGAGAGGGATAGAGAGTTAGAAACATCGATGAGAGAGAAACATCGATCAGCTGCCTCCTGCACACCCCCTACTGGGGATGTGCCCGCAACCAAGGTACATGCCCTTGACTGGAATCGAACCCGGGACCCTTTGGTCCGCAGGCCGACGCTCTATCCACTGAGCCAAACCGGTCAGGGCTCGCCCCCGTCTTTAATGACGACCTCGTCACGCTATTGGACGGGTAGGATGCAACCACACACATTCAGTACCTCGTAGGCACCTGGCGCATGGCACACATTCGATGAATGTGCACTCTTGACCTCTCTCTGTTTAGGGTGAACTGGGACCTGCTTCCCTAACACGCCCACCCCGGGGTTGCGTTCTTCTCCAGGAGTTTTAGGAAACCATTCACACCTCCCTTGCAAACGAAGCTCGTCCCATACGTCCCACAGCATAGCCAGCGCTTCTCTCTCCACCTAATGGTGACCGACCACTTACTGCCGGCCTGGGCTCCGAGGGCCAGGTGTTCCCAATACTCCTCGACGGCCCTGACTCAGCTCAGCTTCTCTGCACGGTCCCCCAGGACTTGACTACCCGGGCCGCAGGCGCCCCTCCACCCACCCCGTCACTCTCTAGCTGTCCCCGTCCGCCTGAGGCTGTGCTCACCAGGCTGGCTGGCGCCTGTGGACTGCTCAGTCCCTTCTCTCTGACAAGAAGGCTCAGAGCCCGGCTGGTGTGGCTCGGTGGTTGAGCATCACCCCATGAACCAACAGGTCACCAGTTGAGTCCCAGTCAGGACACATGCCTGGGTTGTGGGCTTGAGTCCCAGTAGGGGGCATGCAGGAGGCAGCTGATCAATGATGTTTCTCTCATCCATGTTTCTATCTCTCCCTCTCCCTTCCTCTCTCTCTAAAATAAAATTTTAATAAAAAAAGGCTCAGAATCTTTCTCAGTTGCGTGCTATGTTAACCAGCTAGTTACATTTCTTTCCTGGCCCCTGGGTGTGGTCACCCTGCCTCCCAGAGGCCGTGAGAAGGCTGGGCCAGAGGCCCAGGCAGTGTTGAGGCTGCCATGGCGCCCAGACACCTGGGCACCTTGTGCTTGGCGATGGGCAGCAGCGTGTCTGACTGCGTGGAGCTCGGGGCCATGTGACTCTGGTCCTGGCCTCTTCCTGCCTGCACTCCCATCCGCACCCCCGAGCCAACCCCCAGGACCCTCCCCCCTCCGTCCCCGCTGTGGGGGTCACCCAGCTCTCCTGCCAGCTGTGACCATTCGAGTCCTGATTCTGGAGCCCGGGCTCTGGAGAAGCAGAACGTGGAAGGGGGGATGGCTGGGCCGGAGCGGAGGAAGCGACGCTCCTGGAAGTAAATGGCTTTTCCATGTGTGTCCACGCTGCCTGTTGGAGGCCAGCCATAGGCCCTCGGGACCCGGTGGGAGACGAGCCGAGGGCTGGAGAGGAAATGGGAAGGCTCGGCAGTCCAGGCGACAGGGCTCCTGCTGAGAGGAGGAGGGAGGAGGCCGGAGGGCCAGAGGGCCCGCAGGGGTCACTGCTCAGTCACTGCTTCTTGGAGGAAGTGAGGAGATGAATGAGGTCCTAGAAGGAGAGTGAGGGAAGGGAGAATGAAGATCAGGAGGGGAAGGAGGGGAGGGGAGGCCGGGGAGGAGGAGGCCAAGGTACTATGTGGAGGCTGGAGCCCCCTGGGGGCCCCGGGGCAGGAGGCTGGCTTCTGCACCAGCTCTGCCTGGTAACTGCCCTCCTTCCATCTGCTTGAACGTCCTGGGAGCCCTTTCACAACCAGTCCTTCCCGGGCCTCCATGGGCAAGACACTCCACTGGGCCTCCAGTTTCCTGGTCAGTTCAACATGTGATTGCAATGCCTGCCCGGGTGCTCTCAGAGCTGGAGGGTGGGTGAGTGGGAGAGGACAGTGAAAAGTGCACCACTGCCCAGCGGTGTGGCTCAGTGGTTGAGTGTTGACCCAGGAACCAAGAGGTCACGGTTTGATTCCCAGTCAGGACACATGCCCGGGTTGTGAAAGAGAGGGAAGGGGGGGCGGGGAGAGAAACATCGATGTGAGAGAGACATATCCCCTAGGTCAGTGGTCGGCAAACTGCGGCTCTCGAGCCACATGAGGCTCTTTGGTCCCTTGAGTGTGGCTCTTCCACAAAATACCGACTTCTGCGCATGGGCCACGAAGTTTCAATCACACTGTACGTGCGCGCCCACATGTGGTATTTTGTGGAAGAGCCACACTCAAGGGACCAAAGAGCCTCATGTGGCTCGAGAGCCGCAGTTTGCCGACCACT